CTTGACTTTTGCCTGCCAACGAATAATTGATATCGATTCAATATTCTTGATATTTTTTTCAGAGGAATGATACTTTCACTGATACGGGAACACAAGTGGATGATACATCGATGATCGAGCACATTCATGCTTTACAACAGGAGTTGATCGAGACGCATGTTAGGGAGGCTGATAATGAAATATCGATTAGAGATCTCAAGCAACGTGTGCAGGTTGAAATTTTCACTATTTCAGTGCTTTACTGTGGACACTTTCTAGAATTGTTTCTTTCGTATTCTCAAAGCTAGTTTCCTTGCTGAGTCAGTATGGCGAGTCTGAATGAAATGCAAATTTTTCGAAAGATCAGTTGCACTGCTTCACTTCGAATGCTTGCTTGAAAATGCATAGTTCCATAAAATTGGTTCGTTCGATAATTGCAACATGTTGCCGTTCATTTCAATTAAAATGGATGCAAAATGAGTCTAATATATACACATCAATTTTCACATTAATTCTGTCTTTCATTCCTTTCCGTTCGATGCTATTATGTTTAATTGGTTGATTTTTTGAGGATGAAACGTTAAAGGCACAGTCAGTAGTCATTGCTAGATGTGCAACATCAGAATTAATACTGCTGTACTTAGTTTGAAAATGATCCGTGTTCATTTTATGAGTGCATACTCCATACGTTTATTTTCTTGCATACTTGTGAGCTATGAGTGTCGATTTATTTGCTTTTTTTGTATGCTTTTATTCAGCGTAAACCTTCGAAATGGTCGGGAAATAGAAATAATTTCGATTCCAATTCGAAATTGTCGATTATCAATGCTTCTCACTAACAATCAATTACAAAATCAAATTTATCAAAAATGATTCGAATCATCAATTCGTTCCTTCATATGTGGATACATTAACGTCACAATGAATTCTGCTGTGTAACTCATATATATTCCCTTTAATTCTTACCGCGCTGTTGAAGGAATTGGAGCTGTCAAACAAAAGGTTAAAGGAAAGACCACCCGACGATGGTATTGCGGGTCTGCAAGAGGAATTGATTTCGGTGAAAATGCGAGAGGCTGAAGCATCGTTGTCATTGAGGGAAATGCGTCAAAGGCTTGCTGAGCTGGAACAACATTGGAGGGTAAGTGGTGCTTCATTACTGTTCAGCTATTTCTTCATTCATACGATTTTGAGTTCAGTCGATGAAGTACCACACTGTTGCAAGTCATGAATGCGGTCTGATCCAGAGATGACCTCTAACAATTATCGTGGCTACATTTAAGGTTCAACAGTGTGAAAATAACGAATACGAATTCAGATTCAAAAAAAGAGTTCATTTCATTAAATAGTATTGCTCCAAAATAATTACAAATGAATGTCGAAAAGTGAAAGAATTCCATTTGGACGATTCCAACAAAGCAAATTGAATTTTGTTGGTTAACTCACAAAATTTCTATGAGTTGTTTTTTATCGGTGTTCGTATGTGGAAATGCATAAATAAATTAACCGAACGAAATGAAGAAAACGAACGCAGTGACTAGTGAGGTATATGAAATTGATGAATGCGCGATTCATCGTTGACAGATTCGTAATCAATTCATGCATACACAACAAGCATATTCTTTAGATTAGATTTTTTGATAGCAAATCGTCAACATCAACAGTACATTTCATTGATTCTATTCTCAATCGATTCGCTATTCATACACCAGTAGATGATTTCCGCTTTGTTCTAGGATTCATCGTTACATATCGAATTCTGCATAGCAATGAGAGTGGAAATGAATTAAGAATAAATTTACATTGGTCGCTGATTATTGGAAAGTTGTTTTGGGGATGTTTAACTTAATAAATTCTAATTGTAAGTTTATGTGAGTATTCAAATCAAAAAATGTCATTTTGTTTTTCGAGTTGATGGGTAACGAATTCAAACGATTGCCCCAAATGTCCCAAATTTCTCCCAAACAATAGACTGCGATGATTTCGCAAAGCAGTTTGAATTACACATGTTCAGAACTAGTTTATCTTGTCGATGGTGGTCTTCGAAATGATATAGTAGGCTGTATTCGAATTGTGTTATCATTCGAACTATGTAAGTACTGAACTTGCCGGTTGGTCAACTTGTCCGATCAATCATTATATTGCTTGAACGCATCATTATATTGCAACCGAATACTACTTGGTTGTTCTCATGCTCCTACACAGTGACATCACTCCTCCGAATAAACTGTTTATTCGTGTTATATTTTGTTCTTTTCTAGTGGGCTTGAACAGCATAGATCTCAAATTCGGGTTGTGGGAACGAAACAAAACAAAACGGTCTCAAAAAAAGTACTGAGAAGAACAGAACGGAATAGTGCAAAGGGCGAAATAGTACAGAATAGAACAAAGCACCAAAAGAGATGGGTAGGGACTCGACGTGAATGTTCCGAAGGCGATTGGTAATCGAAGTAAATCGCGTCATTGATTGATGCTTGTTCTAAAAAATAAACTGAAAGCCAGGTCCATGAGTACATATTCAGTTTATTATGCTCTTTCTCGCAACTTACCATAGAGCATATTATCATGTTGTCATTCATCCGTAAAAAACTGCCTCTATGAACAATCGTTCATTNATACAACTTTCCAATCGTTAAGCTATAGAACCATTGGGAAGGAGGAGGGAGTGTACCGATGGATGCAAATTGCATACCCCTACCTGGAAAGTGGACGTTCGCGTTTAGATTGATTAAGAGTGGGTTTTCTCTGTCCAGCGTGACGAATTCTTCAATCATCGTATGAAGAGGTTTGAAGTAGTGATTGAATTTTAAGGTCATTTATAATTTGCCAAACATCTTCAGTAAGCTGCAAAAATAATTTTTTCTTTCACCAATTCCACTCTGAATCTTAATCATTATGAAATGGATTCATTCGCAGAAATATGAACAATCGCGAACGGCCGAAAGTAATGCGTCGCAAGCAACATCACCGAGAGTTGGTAGCGATGGTACAATAAATGCACAGTTTAACGACAATTCCACTTCAAATACGAACTCAGCTAATGACCAATCTCCATCATCAACTTCTGCATCAGGTATGTATTCGTTTGTTCGTTCATTACTCATCTTAATTCAATATCTTCTATAAATGTGTTCAACTTCAGCTGGAATGCAATGTCAGTCACAAGCACAACATTCGCCTCCTCTTTCGTCAAGTGCTCCCCAGAGTGCACGTCAGCGTTTAGCTAAACTCACAGCATCATTAATTGGTGTTACAAGCGTTGATTGTATGGACGGCGCTTCTGAATCTGGTTTATATTCATTCTATTCACTTTCATTCGATTCGCAATTTATTGATTCGACGTTTGTCACATTTCCTGTTAACCGTTGTTAATTTCAGTCAGGGAACTAGAGGATCAGTTGATGGGGGTTAGAATTCGTGAAGCCGATACTGTTGCCGAACTAAAGGAAATGCGTCAGAAAGTTATGGAACTTGAGACTCAGGTCAGTTGATAAAGTGACTCGAGTTGAACGTTTTTTGTTCGTTGCTTATAGGATAGAAGAGATACCAGCAGATTGATTTGTAACTGACAAAGGCGATGTATGGAAGAGATGAATTAATGGCCTAATTGCTCTCGCGTTGTTGTGTTTGGCTATTTTATCGAATTTCCCATTTCTCTTGCAATCAATGAACTCCATTATTTTCTTTACCGGGAAACGCAACTCGATTATTCAGAAAATTGCATCCATTCATTCCATTGCTGAGTGTTTGAGAA